GTGCTGCATAGTTGCTTGGCACTTTAGCTCGGAAACTCAAGGCAAAAACTGCCTCCCTGCTGCCACGCCCTGGCAATCAAAGCTGTTGTGGCTTGGAGGGGCTATGCCTGACCAAGGCAGCGCAAGTGCAGACTAGCTTTGGCTGTGAACTTGGAAGGACGGCAGAAACCGAGGTAAATAGTAACTCCAGCTATGAGTTTCAAGAAGTCACGTCATCAAATCCAAGCCAGGCCGCCCAGGCCTGACATGACGAGTGTTGACTTAAACTTAAGGCGCACGAAAAACACATGGCTTGTCGGCACGTTGCAGATGGGGGGGAGAGGACTTGTAGAACCAAGCTTGAAGCGTACGGCTTGAGAAGGGCACCTGCATTCGGCAGGCTAGCACACGGCACCCCTGGGCAGCCTGAGCCCGACGTATCCCCAACCAGGCACGAAGTCGTGGTCGTGGAAGACTCCGCGGGACTGACCGCTGCATTTTGCGGCCAGGAGCTTTGCCCATAGAATGTTCAGGAATTCCGTGACGTTATGCCACGGTGTCAGCATAAGGTGCAGCCGGCAGCACCTGAGCCGTGTGTGCAAGATGTTGAGCGTTCATCATCAGGCAATGCTTACGCCCATAGAGCCAGTGCGAGGTGCTTGTGGGCGGGGCTGCTTGCTTTTGAAGCCCCAACGCTGCTTGGATAGTCCTGTGGGTGCTGAGTAGTGGCTCGGTACCTTAGTTCCCTGCTGCGACACTGGCTATCAACGCTGTTGCTACTTGGCCGGGCAATCCAAGACCGAGACAGCGCAAATGTAGATTAGCCTTGGCAGGGCATCGAGAGAAGCCCAGCCGAATAGTAACTCCAGCTAGGAGTTTCGAAAGTCACCTCGCACTTTCACATCAAATCCCATCCAGACTTGACAAGGGAGAGATTGCCTCGGGTGTGATGCGGCAACAACCGAATAAAAGTATACAGTCGATAAAATAACTGCTGCCATGTTCCACTTTGGCAGATGTATCAATGACAATTACGCCTTGAGAAGGGTGCACGAATTCTGCAGGCTTTCACACAGCGGCCTGCGGCCACTTGGGCCCGACTTATCCCGAAGCACCTGAGGCACGAAGTTGTAGTCTTGGAAGACTCGGCCACGGCAGGAGCGGCCGCTGCTTGTGCCCAGGAGGTTTGCTAGTTCAATGCGAAGGAACTTCATGACATTATGCCACGCTGTCGTCCCATGTGGCCGCGTGACACATCTTTCCGCACGTTTGCTCCTGAAGGGTGTGGCCGCAAGCAGCGCATAGACTGGTTTCGAGCAGAAAGCGCAGGCCAAGTGCATCGCCCAGTGGATTGAGCTGCAACAGATGCGTTGCACACGCAGAAGTTTATCACCGAAGCCACCTAGCAGCTCTGACGGTGTTCCGCTCACCGGATCGGAACGAGTGCCACGAGCGTGCGTAGCACACGAGCATAGTGATGCTGGACTCTTCACCAGTCTTCTCAGTCCTGGAGCCTCAGGGCTGTCCAGGCCAAGGGAGTGGCAGGACGTTGGCGTCAGCCCAGCTTGATGGGAACTTCCACTCTGAGTGGCAAGAAGCCACCTTGCACTGTCACACTGAATCTATGCTAGGCTTGAGACAGGAGGGATTGCCATGGAATTCAGCCAGTTCCTCAATTAATGTAGCTTTGCCATACTTTGCCATGTTGAATGAAGCGCTTCACTTTGCCAGATCCGACCATGAACGGCACGCCTTGAGAAGGGCGCGCATATTCGGCAGGCATTCACTCGGCAGCCCTGAGCCACCTAACCCCACGTGAGGCACGAAGTTGTGGCCCTGGAAGACTCTGCTGCGGCGGGAGTGACTGTTGCTTTTTTCGGCCAAGAGCTTTCCTAACACAATGCGAAGGAACTTCATGATGTCATGCTGTGCAGTTGTGACAGGTGCTGGCGGTCTTTTTCGGTCCTGTGCAGTGCTTATGCAAGCAACATGGAGCACGCCGATGCATTTGCCTACGCATTTGCCAAACGCTGAGCCAAGCCACGAGAAATGGGGGGCACCCGTAGCGCTCGTGCACGCTGCTTCCGGGGCTGGGCTTCTTGGCCCTGTTCCCAAGCTGCACTGTTTCCGCTTAGCGCGACAAGACGAGCACAAAGGCAGCACGAGTGCAGACTAGCTTTGGCAGCACATCGACACAGCCCAAGTGGATGGCAAATCCAGCTCCTTGCTGCTCCATTTTTTTTTTGCAGTCCGGCAACGATGGCGGCAACGAAGTGCTTGCGCCTACGAAGGCTTGCAAACGGTTCATTTGCTTTTTTGCGCCCTGTGCCAGCTTTAGAGGTGAGACAAGTGAGGCAAGGTGTGCCCATCCAAGGTGCAACACAGTTTCACTCAGCTGGTGTCTCTCCAGCCTTTCTCCTAGGCGTTTCAGAGGGGCCAGGCATTTGACACGGACAGAAACTGAGAAGCACAGGAGAGCAGCTGAGCTGGGAGACTCGTTGCCCCAAGATGTTGCCATTGTTCATGCCCAGGGCAGCTTTGGTTGGCAGCAGTGCTCTCACAAATCATGGCAAGGGAGCCTGCCACGCTTCAAGCAAGCGCATCGAGTGCTTGCTGGGCTGCCGAGAAGGGTAAAGAAACCTGCGCGAAGCGGAAAGGCCTCTCAGGCATGTAAGAAAAGCATTCCGCTGAAGTCAGGCCAAGGCAACAATGCTAGAGCTATGAGCATCTTCTGTCAGGCCTGTCCGGCTGCTGGCATTTGGCAAACAAAACTTGTAAACCATGTTGTGAGAGCCCTTTCAAGGGTCCGGACACGCAAGGCTATGTGAAAGCAATATATCTTGGGCAAGCTGCAACGGCTCTGGAGGCTCTGAGACACCACTTCCCAAAACGCGCCCTGAAGCCAAGCCAACAGGGGCAAAGCTGATCTTCTCCAGGCAGTCTCGCGTCAACCGGTGTTTGGTCTCTCGGGTCGCAGGGAACATCCAATGTGTCCGATTGGCAGGCTCATCTCTGGTACGCACCATGAAAAAGCCAACGCTGCACAGATGAACTCGTCAATTGGCATGATGAAAAACCGGCCGAGGCCAAGAATGCAGTTTCGGCGGCGGTTGACTCATAAAGCCTCGAGATAGGCAATCGATTCCGTGGAGGCACAAACGGCATCAAGGCTCCATTGCAAGCTCTGGCAAAACGCAACGACTGTAGCCTTTGGAGCCCCGACCAACATCAAGGCTCTCACATTCGGCTCAAGGCATGGAATGGCTTGACACACTGCCATTGTGCATTGCGCGGCCCATAGCAACCATTTCAACTGGTTGCTTTCATCACTCTTTGCCCCTGCTTGCATGTGCTGTGCTGCAACGCCACATGTCACAAAACCCGGCACGTTGGCTCGGTGTTGAAGGCCGCGGCCTTGACAATGATAGTGTTGCTCAGTCTTCACGCTTTTGCCTTGTAAGCAGTGCTGCTGAGTGGCGCGCGCTGCCACTCAAGTCCACTGGGCATGGCGGAGGCAGAGGAGTGAAGCCGCACAGTGATATCCGTCGATTTCCATGTGCGCAGGCCAGGTGAAGAAAGCCAAGCGCAACTGGAGTCCTGGCAGGTAGCAGCGCAGTCCGGGTGCTTTACAGCCGTTGGCGGCTCTTGTTACAAGTTGCGCCATGTAAGCACTGGATTGTTGCTTGACTGTTTGCATCTCCTTTGCAATTGGCTCCGCCAGAGACAGTGCGGGACATGTGTGGCCATTCACTGTTTGAGGTGCACCGTACGCAGCTTCAACTAGTACTAGTGTGGCAGTGCCGTCAGTGACACTTGCGCCGACCCCTTGTGGCCAGCAACGCTTTCCTTGCAAAACTGGCTTCGTAGGGCGAGACATCTCGCCGCACCGTTAGTCCCGCTCGTGTCTTTCCTTTTGGCCGCCGACAACACCTTCCAGATAGCCTGCCGCCTTGCCAAGATGCGGCACAGCGCCTACGACACGCACCCTCGACGCGCTGTGGTGCACACCTCGGCGCTCCCGCTGCGCCCACTTTGGCCGGCTCCCGGATCCCGATGTTCCTATTCCCCGTAATCCGTAGTGGGATACTCCCCGCAAGGGAGACCTCTATCATCAGCATGAGAACTAAGGCTTTGTTTGAACAACTCAGTCAAGTTTTGACCTGAATTTCAATGTTTGGAACGCACTCAAACATGGGTAGTGGACATGCCCTGCTTGGCCAGACAAACAGACAAGGCAGCGGCATACTGCGCAGAGCCATCTCAGAAATTTGGCAGCCAACAGTGCGGCCGGGTGGCGTAATGGCACTGTCAAGGCTGTCGCAGCCATGAGAGCTACCAGCAACGGCTCACAGCCCGACAGATGTGCTCGTTCGTGGCACCGCTTCCAGGCCATAGCCGAAACTGTCAGCTAAGGAGCAGAGCTGAGAAGCGTTGGCCACTCCTTGCTCAACTTAGCCGAAGGCCTACACGTGCGCCGAGGCTTGGCTGCATGGTGCACGGAACATCCGCGGCTGCTCGCCAGCCAACGGCGAGGATGGGTGGCGTGATAATATTTGCCGGGATGTCAAGGCAATGAGATGCCGGAATTGGCCGACATCCCAATCGCTGCTGTGTACCGTTGCATCGGCTCGGGCCTCGCAGATCCAGAAATCGGCGACCTCGTTCTGAGTCCGGAGCGGTCCGGGTGCAACTTCGGCCCTCGCCGCCTGGCACTTGCGGCGGAGCTGTGATGGCGGCCAGCTGCCTCCAGGCTGCGCGCGTTTGCCGTCGGATGGGCCAGGCAAGGCCAAGCAATCGTCATGCACCCAAAGCCAGCTTAGCACAGGAAGTGCAGCCACGTGCGTCCAGCACGCGTCTAGGAAGCGTCGCCTTAAATCTCTGCCGGACCCGTCGCCGAGCCTGACATACCTGACAGGCCGGACGGGCGTCCAGCCGCCTCAGGCACTCCTGCAGGTCCAGCGCCCGCAAGTGAGACTGGCCCGAGTTCGGGCACATGGCTAGCGCTGCGGACAAGCGTGAAGATGTTGAAACCCTTGCCACAGACACCAAGTCAAGCTGGCTGCGCTTTCTTGGCCAAGACGGACTTGTCAAGCCACGAACGCTTGCTCCGCTCGCCGCTCGTGCATCAGTCGCCGCTTCCAGCTGGGCTGCCGCACAAGCCAAATGGCGTTCCGATGACGCAGCAGATGAGGGTTGGTGTCGCCATGCCGGACCATACCACTGCTGCACTTGAAGACTTTCCCATTTCCTCGGCCTTGTCACCAACCCTCAGCAAAGGATTTGGCTCACACCCACGCCCGCAAGCAACGTATTGCAGCCCAGCCATGAGGAAGACGGTCAGACAGTGCATGCTGCGATGGCGCGGGGTCGCCGCAGTTGGTTTGGCGCTGACTGGAGTAACAGTGGTGCTGCCAAAGCGCTCGAGACCAGGCACAGGTGTGGTCTGGAAGTCGTCAGTCTATCGCTTCGGTGTTGCAGCGCCGGCAGGTCGTTAGGCACACAAAAGCAGAATCTTCATGCTGAGCTTCAGGATTACGCAATCACGCATTTGAGATCCGTTTCGGGCTCACGTTGCCCAAACTTAGTCTCTTTCACCACAGGTTTGGGTGAAATGGCCAGGCCTCAATTTCCGGCCGCCGCTGCATGATCCCTGGCACGAGGCACGGGGCTCGTCGCCCTCAGAAAGGCGCGGCCCGGGTAAAAACTTGAGCTGTCCGTCCTGATTTCCCGCAGCTCCTGTGAGGCGTGTAGTTCACTTTGCGCTCGCAGCCAACTGATGCTCATGCGTGGACCGGCTCGGCGACAACCAAGCAAGTCGCGCCGTTTCAACCCATGCAGCTGCATCAAGCCCTGCCGCTGGGCGCGCCGGCCACGTGAGGCTTGCCGGCACCAAAGGTCCCAGCACCTTCCAACACCCAGGATGAGACAACTGACATAAAGAAGCTCTTTTGCACAGGCCGCGTGGTCTGCGTGACGTGTGTGGGGCTTGCAGTGCGTAGGGCTGCTGTCCCCACTCGCAGCGCTGGCTGCGCACGGAGGACAAAGCTGACGCTGCGGCGGCGGTTGTGCGTTGCACGGTTCCAGCGGCTTCCTTTGCGGCGGCTCATCCAAAGCCATCCCTCGGTTTGTTGCTTCGTTATTTGGCGGGAGCCAAGCTGTGCCCGTCAGCGCGTGCCCAACTGCAGAATCATTCACTTGTCGAACAACTGCGCAGCCCCTAGCTTGGCACCTTTGATGCTGCTGAGCATGGGCGCTGTGTACTGCGGGCGGCATAGCCTGGACTGCGATGCTAGCAGCGCCCAAGGCTGTTTGTGATAACTTTCAATCATCCAACAACGAGCGTAGTATGTCTTGACTGAGATTTGGGCGCATGTGCCGACAGAGGGCAGCCGCTTTTCACCCCATCCCCATATCATAGCTTGCCTTACTTTTGGCCTTGCAAGAGAGCCACGTGGGACACTTAATTTCTGCTGACACACCAAAAAGGCAGCCCGGTGTGGCTCAAGCGCATCAAAATTTACTCTACTGAAATCTGTTTGGAGTATTTTGGAGCTAAAGTGAACATCCTGCTGGATCAGACTTTGTGCTCGGGGTTGCGCAGTTGCCCTCTGGAAGGTGGTGTGCCATGTGTGCCACAAGCATGCCCCGATTGTTGCACGGTGCGGCCATGCCGGAGAGTGCCATGAGAGATTCTAGTTCGCTGGCGGCCCATCGAGCACTCGCTGCATTTCTGCCGCAACCCACTCGAATGTTTGGACATTGACCTTCAAGGCGGGGTACTGGTCAACAGTAGGGTCCCCCAAATAGTCTCTAGCGAAGTACTTGCGAGTGCTGCTTTAGTATTGCTTGAGTATTTTTGTGGTATTGCTTAGTGCTATGGAATTGGTTTGCAAATGGTGAAGTATTGGTTGGTATGTGCGCGTGCACATTGGGAATTTTCTGCCGGAGAAATGCCTTTCATCACATCAGTACGTATTTTCAAGTCTTGTAGCCCCAGGGCCTCGGCTGCACTCCCTTGGAAGGCGAATAATGATTTGCCAGTCGTGGTGGGAAAAGAAAAGGTTACATGTCCCAGCGGCTGAGCAACGGGCATGGTCGGTGAAGATTTTCGGGAGAGACTATATGAGATCGGCATTCAGATACTCGCATTACCCCCAACTCAACCTCAAGCATTTGCTACGGCCAGACAAGGACTTGGTTGGTAGGCAGCAGATGCAGACCTTTGGCTCCTGGTAAAAGCTCTTTGACGAGCCAATATCTGCTTGTTTTTGACAAGGGTCCACACATTTCGGGAAACAACATGCCTGGACGGATCATGCCTTCTTATTCACAATCCTGAAAAGATGAACGGCTTTTGCAGGGATCGTGTGTTTTGACATGCAAGTTGGGGAAACGGTGGGCGCAGACGTGACCCCTTCAGGCATGGGCATCGAGCCTTGGCGAGCAAGGTGTGTCTTTACACGTGAAATAACTTGGCGAGCGGCGGAAGTTGTGAACCGAGGCATTCGAGGTCGGGCTTTTCGCGCATGACCTGGACATGTCACATCGCACCTTGGCCAGATACATTCTTGAAGATGGCTGCACTTGCAAGCCAGTCGATCAGCCCACCACTGCCTGCCTTCGCTTTTTGAGAACAGTGCGCAGTGTAAGGCTCTTGTGAAGGCAAGCACGTTCATCCAAGTGTGCTGCCAGGCAGTACTATGTGTGCAAGCTGTGCTGCACGGCTCCCAGTTGTTAAATCTCTGCGTGCAGCTTCTGTCCACACAGCATGGCTCCGGCAGCTGCAGTTTGTCGGTGTGTGTGTGTGCCGAGTTTGAGATTTACCCTGGAACCATTTCTCAAGTAGTAGCAGGGGGCGCGGCCAGTATTGAAGGGACCTGCGCCAACGAAGACGCCCTTCTTTGCTGGTGAAATTCAACGGGACGCCGTTGGACGTACCTGCAAATGTGATGTTTGTGAATGTGTTTTTGGTCCCCTCCCTGAACCGCCGTTGCTTCTTTTGTGCCCCTGTTAAAGTAGCTAAAGGGAAGCCAAGTGTCTTGCGAGCCGAAAGTTGTACTCGAAAGTTGTACTCGAAGACGAGCAACCTCCTTCGGAAGTTTAAGTGTGTTTACCCCGTCTCGGGGGACCCTCGGATGCACCCATCGTGTGGCTCCGGGACGGCATTGCCGTTTTATTTGACATTGGCGTCGATCACTAGACCAGCGTAATTTCACTTTAAGCAGAAACGAGGTTTCACTAAAAGCGAAGATTGCGTCAACCACTTCCTTGACCATTGCTACCGTTGACCATTGTCAATGCTGTCTTGCATTCACACACTTTGGCCATGGTTGTGATTGATTTGTGTCTCAAGCTTTGGGACTTTCGGACTCCTCACCTTGCACTCCTCACCTTGCACATGAACATGCCTCGACGTGATGACCGTGACCGTTCTCGCACTCGGCACCGCCGTGGGCGATCTGAATCGCCACCTCGCAAAGCACGCAGGCGTCATGATCGTGATGAGGATCAACGCCAAGCAGGGTCTCAAGATCCCTCCAGCACACAACCACTCGATGACCTACATGCATCATGCACCAGCGCCGTTCGCTCCCATTCCTTGCCTTGCACCATATCCCACTGCATCTGGACTTCCTCTTACGCACGATCCTTGTCACCGTGCTCCTCACGCTCCACCTGCGCACCAACATATGCCAACACCGACTACATTCACGAATTCCACTACACCCGGTTTATCCGCCATACAGAGCACACAGCGCCCGCTTTCAGGCCCTATGGCAACAGGGCAAACTTTGGCTTACCCCTCCAACGGAATGGATTCCTGGAGAAGGTCTTCTTGATCGCAACCAGCTCGACTCCTTCACGTTACCAGTTTCAGTCTCCAATACTCCTCACACTCGTGAACGTGGAATGGCCGAGCTGGACATTCGTGACGTACGCTTAGTTTCAAATTGGTTGCTATGTCCTTTTGCTCACGGCCGCTTTGGGACCTGGGGAGGATTCCGTACCAGAACCGAAGCCCTTTTGTGGAGCACGTGTTCCAAACTACTACGCCGATCTCAGCCGCTCAACCTCCTTACCCTCGAGAAGGACACTGCCAGCTCCCTAGGGCTCAACTTGGAGGACTTGACTTCAATCAGCGCATCAAGATTCATGAGCATTTGGCCAACAACATCCTCGAGCACCTTGCCCAACAACACCAAGCTATCTCGCCGCGGCCACCCAACGCAGATGCAGTCGCAAATGGTCATTCACTTCAACGCCAAAATGAGCTTCTCAAAGCTGAACTTGCCGTGTCACGCAAAGCTCATGATGCCTCTGCTACTGCCACGCCGCCCACCATGCCCGCGGTGGCCACACCTTCCCCTTCCAGACCTTGTCACTGACATCAAGTGCAGTTCTGCCCATGGCCAGTGCTGCCGCCGTTGATGGGAAATCTTTTGACAAGAACTTCGCGAAGAGCCCCGTCCTCAATTCACTACATGGTCGTTCCCCTCGCCCGTTTCATGACAAGAAGCAGGATGATCCGACGCTTGCAGCCACTGATTCCACACATCATGTGCGACCTCCACCTTCCGATCAAAGCTCGCCACAGGAGATCCTGGAATACTACACGCGAGCCCGACGCCGCGCTTGTTTGCCAAGCATGCTCCCACTATGTCAACGCCAGCCTCAGTGCTCAAATGGGCCAACTGCCCTACGCGTCTCAACGCCAGTCGTGACCTTGAACCTCGTGCTGTTCTGCTTTCAACAAGCACGCCAGCGGATCGCCAACGGAGACGCGGCATCGTTCCCATCTATGGCGGCCATGTGGGGGTTGGAGCCCAGCTACATCACACAGCGCTGTGTATTCTAATTGTCACAGCACGCACACTTGCCTGATTAGACGCTTGAATCTCATATCATATTAGCCCGGAGTGGTAATTGCCGTAACAGTCGCGCAAGCAAAAGATTGCTTGACGATGCTTGATCATGTCTTTTTCATTGCATGCATGTCGGAGTGCGTTGGCATCATGAACTTGGGAGTGAATTGTGTTGCGTCATGAATTCGCAGCTTTCATCATGTGGTCTGAGTTTAGATCGAGTGGGATTCTCGATGATCTGGTCCGCTGGCATTCATTGTCTACTTTCTCAGCTCCTTGGCATTCATTTCATCTTGCTGGGCATTTGCCTTTCCCGAACTACCTAGACCTGCGGCACCCTTGAGATTGGCTCACATTGATATGATTTTTGAAGCGCTCTCTCACTGCAGATTCCTACGAGCGCATTCTCGCACACCTCCAATCCAACGGCCAATCGGTATGAACTTCACCGCTGTCGACTTTCAGCCTTTTTGCTCTTAGTCATATGTTTCCTTCAACGACTCATTCTACAAGACAATGGATACATCCCGGCGTTCCTTGAAGTGTTGCACTTCTACAAGACCGCGCTGTTCCGCGACATTATGTACTCCCCATTTGCTGAACTTCGCCATTTGCGTTCCCTACGCGCTCGA